TAGTTTCAAGCTCATCTGCGAATAGTTAATAGTTAATAGTTAATAATAATAATAATAATAATAATAATAATAATAATAGTAATAATAATAATTATTAGATTTCTGATCAAAATAACCTCAAGTTCAATCCACCTCAGACAATTAGTTAAGAGCAATGAGCATATGAAATTGTTTATACGATAACGGCTGTATTAGGTGTTACAATAAGGTATGGCATTTACTAATTAACTGTTTATCAACTTCTGGTAATATGAACGAGAGGGAATGTTGCATAGAAGGAAGCCTGCTGCGTAAGATCAAGTGGTAAAAGTAAGAAACAATATGATGAATATAGAAATAATATAGCAAAGATGAATATCTGAGGGGATAATAGTTTTCCTCTACTTTTTCATCGGTCTATCTAGCCGCAAACCTATGAATTTTATATTACAATAGACTGTATATTAGGGAGCACATATAAAACTTATTATTGAATTAAATAGCGTTATAAATAGGGAATAATTTTTACATTTATTAACCCTTAACTACCTATGGATGGATCATTCGATATCAAACGAAGAGTGAGAGAAAAGATCAGTACTGTGTACGTACATGAATTATGCAGTTATTACTACAGGAGGATTGTGGTGGTTACTGCATTTCATAGTTTACAATGCGAACTGACCTCAGATAGACAACTACTGGAAACTAGGAGACAATGTGTATCTACTTCTTCCTAGTACTGAACTCGTCAGAAATGCACATCTAAACCCGTAGGGTGCCAAATCCGAATCATTTACATTTTGCAGTTAGCACTTACTCTTCCGATCACTTAGCATGTATCTAGTGCTGTATATGTACATATATATAGGAAAATGGATGAGTCATCGAATAGATTAAGCAGCTAATAATGAAGTTAGCAGAATGAATATATGCGTAGGCGCTAAACAATGTTCAAGCATACGTATTTCATACAAGCGCAATAATAATAACAGTACATGTTGTTATAGCATGGATGACTATGTCCATTAAATAGGTTAACAAAAGACCTTGACTGAGCTAAATGAGGACAAACTCAATTGCACGTGAGTCGCTATAATGCCACAATTCCACTAATCTTACAATATAGCTTCCTCTACTTACCACAAATAATTCCACAGCCATGAAAAATAACTTTAAAAGTTTGAATATATATATAGGCTATCAGTATTGGGTCATAAATCCCTTTTGAGGTATCACCCATGTAGGGTTAAATCGCAAAAATGGGTAATTCTAACGTTAAGTGAAGGGTGGTAGTTAGAGATCGTCAGTTAGCTTATGAAGCTGTAAACTTTCACTGGCTAGTACGTTCTGAAGTTATTATACTTATGCTCAGCCACAGTCTATCCAGCCGCGCAACGCTGGACAGTATACTGGCAGGATTACAGGAAACTAGAGGAAGTCGAAGTGAAACATGAAATTGCCTCATGAAGGCATTAAATATTGGACTGACACGTGTTGACTGAAACAAACTAGACATAATCTTCAGTTAACGATCTTATATGACCTTGTTCTTAGTCAGTTGCAATAGCTTGTAGATATCTTCCTCGAGATCTCAAGTTCAGATATTATATCTTAATTTTTATTTATCTATTTCATTCGTTCTCTCCAAATAATATTCCTTTTGTTTACTTTTATTATCATCGTTACGTTTACATTTCGTCTCGTTAATCTTCTCTTTGTGTTGATTTAGTGTGTGATGGCTTGAAACGATGAATAATAGTTCCAGGTTCCATGTTGTTTATCAATAAGTGAACGACGGAGTGGATATTCGCTGGAAAGCTATACCGTTTACAGAACACAGTTGAATTCTCGTCAAATATATATATATATAACATTATAAGCTTTTATTAGACTTATTGACTATTATCAGAAAGGGTTTCGTGGAGATTTCATTAATTTAAATAGTTGAAATCATGATTCATTTGAAGCTAGACCATCATGGAAAACCTGGAAGCACTGGACGGCCGTTTCGTCCTAGTATGGGACTCCTCAGCGATGCTCATCCACGATCCCGCCCCTGCGGTATTCAAACCCAGGACCTATCAGTCTCGCGCGCGAGCGTTTAACTATTATCATGTGGTTTACTATTCTTGAAATATCCCCAATTTGTTAGTACCAGTCTCTCACAATCACAGCCACGTTTTAGCTTGTTCTGGTTTAACTGTTATTTTCTATTTATCGTATGATGCAGTCTGGTTTGTTTGTATATAAACCTAGTGTGTCTGAAATATATGATTCGTATTGCGGACGTTGATATTGGCGTTCTGGTCTGAACTGTATGGGTCGGAAGAGAAGCTGCTATTTCAGAGGACCATTAGGAACTTTAGGCTGCTACAGATTTATGAGTCATTAGTTTGGTCGTACAGGTTGGTGTCTCTAATCGATGGTCACATCACGTGATCAATAATAAATCCTTTTTTGGTGAATATAAGTAAGCGATTTGGCTTCACCTACAATTATGACTACTAATACTGGCAAAGTGAAATTCGTACGCTTTATTGTTGTAACGGAAAAATATATTTTCATTCCAAGGATACAGTGCGCCAATAGGATAATACCTTAAATAGATACACTAGATAAAGACTGGTCATGCCATATCCAAATGCAGTATTCACAATCATAAATCAAGACCCCGATAAAAGCCAGACAGTATATTATTTAACGCAAGTTATCTCAGTCGACAAACAGAACACAGTCTATGGTGAAATCCGAGTTATAATACAAACGTATAGATTTGTACTAAGAATTGTAGAGTGAACATATTTCTCTGACATGTTAGTCAATTATCGTTCATATCATTTATCTATTTGTTGTAACGGGTGGACTGCAGGTTAGATGCGCAGCGTTTTATCGATCGGATTAGTGACACGTAAAACACGTAATGAACGATCTAGAGTCCCGATTGGTCCCGCTTCCCTGTCTAGCCCAGTCAGTTGAGTTTAGAACACAAGTCACAGCCTCTGAGGTATGAATCGTTATATTTCAAACATACTCTGTTTATATACCAACCAAACAGACCACATCGTACCATAAAAATAGAAAACAACATCTGTACAATATTTAACAAGTGAAATAATATCCACCAATAAGGAGTGTACATTTAACGTCCAAGGACACTACTAGACTTGACACGATAATTATTGGTATACTCCTCTGCATACCTAACACTATTGACCGTGTTTACGCATTTGAAACTTGACAAATCTTTCTATCGCTGGTGAATATTTCTCGTAGAAATGAAACGCCATTTCTGTATTCAGTCATTTGGCTGATGTTTATACATTTTGAACCCTGGTCAGTTTGAAATTCAGAATTTGTTCGGTGAGCAAATTATTGATTTTTGGCTTTTAAGCTACTTCGATACTTGCATCATTAGGTCGTGCATTCACTTCAGTGACCAAATACTTAGCTCGTCTCAGGTGAATTCTTGGAATTGTTTGTCATAATGCATTAGTAAACTTTGACTGCATCTCATCTGTCGATTCATGAAATGTCTCATTATTAGTCCTTGGGGTTCTCGCAAATTCTTGAAGCTCCATAGTTACTGAAAGGAAGTTGGAAATAAAACTGCAATTTTTCGTAAAATCAATGCTTTTTATGAAAAAATATTAGGGGTATGATCTACTAGTTCCCTGAAACATATTTATTTCTAACACACTACCTGAATTGTGCAAAATGTTTGAAACAAAGACTAACGAAAAAATCCTCCAGTTTTTACCCATATGAATCGGTTTATTGATTAAAAATAAAAATACATATCTCCTAACAAAATCTACTACGGTGGTTAATATACTGAAACGTCAACACGTATCACCCTATGAAACACCGCTTGTGCATCTTGACTTTCACCTTCACATGCATTTTTTACATATCTAGTTCTCCAAGTGAAATGTTGCCAGCAACGAGAGGTAATGCTTTCAAAAACAATTCGATTGAATAAGAGGTAATGAGTAATTTGCTCTCTCGAGCTCCAATTATGGGATACATTTACTAGTATGTACCTATCATACTTAGAACCTAACAAAAATTTCATATCACAAATTATTTTATAGACTCACATGAATTCAATAGCTAACATGAACGGTGGACCTTGATATAATGACGAAGCTATCTAAACTGTCTCGTATATAGACGTTATTTTAGTGCCAGAGATATCAATTATATGTGTAAGTATGATTTCTTATAATTACCAAAAGTGGAAATATCAGAATTCAACTGTGGAATTGAAGCATGCTTCCTGACGTATAAAGCTTTTACTGTTTGATAAAAGTTTCACATCGGTGTTACCCTAAAAAAAGCCAAAGTAAACATTACAACAGAAAATTATTCATAGCTAAAGTAAAAAATAACGAAATCAACTTTATGTTCACTTTCATAAACTGTCCTATTTACTTTTCGAAAAACTTCAGAACACTATTATTATTATCATTACTAGCTTAATCATTTATAAAACTGGTTAGTAAGTCAATCATAGAATTCTAGCAAGTATTCGTTGTTACTCTTTCAAGATATCGGTATGTTTTTAAGAAAATAATATATTGAGAAAATGCAATATTTACACATAATACTATATGCATAACGCCTGATGTTCGTTCCCTTCGTGAAGTGATGTTTGATTTATTCTCTGATCAGTTTAGTATACAGTAATGTGTTGTCAACTCAAATCATCTAACCTTTGATCTGAAATTCAATATTTTCATTTCTTCGTTTTTAATCCGAAACAAAATGAAGATATATGTTTAATTTCGATCTTCACCAATTACATTCATTCTGTGCAATCATTGTGGCATGGTTGTTAACCATATTTTAGAACATGAGCAATCTAATTGGGCAGACCTTATGTGTTCTATATTTAAATCGGATTGGATACATTCTAACTACTGAAAAGCTTAATTATTGGTGTTCTAAATTTACTAGTAACACATATTCATAAATTAATGAAACTTACTGAGACGAAGGTTTATTCAAATAATTTCACTATGGAATCTGTCAAAGACTTCCCTAGAATCACCTCAGTAGTTAGACTCAAAGTTATGATAATCTTGGCAGTCTCAACTGTTACATTTGGAATTTGGTACATGTGGGGTCTTAGCCTAAACGAAATAGGTCAGTATATTTCAAACTACCAAAACCTAGCAATATGGAATATGGTTAAACAGCCTGTTTATTATCCAAACTTCAAAGTTTTCAGAAAGTGAGAAATGTTCATTCTTGTATACATGATGCTTTTTCAGTGACGTAATGATTGGGCGTCTTCTGTTAAATAAAACCAAGGTTAGTCTTATCTTATTTCTGATCTGATTACTTTTTATTTTCGTTTAATGAGGGTGCTCATGATAACATGTCTGGAGGTAACTTACTTAATTATTATGTTGTTTTACATATAATAAGGTTCGTTGTTTAGACCCTTTGATTCACTTTTCTTCTCAGTCTCATACCCAAATCAGAAAACCATAAAAGTATGGTGTAGGGACGGAACGGACGACTTTTAGGTTTACTAGCTAGATTCAAATATCACGTATAACGAGCAGTAAATAATTCTCTCTAGCGTTAGAACTTTTAAAATAAAAATAAAACTTTTTGCAGCAATCACAGAGTAAAATTGTTACTACCAGATGTGTCAAATTCTTAACTCTTTCTCTGGAGACAAATCAACACTGTCCCTGATTCCCAACCCCGTACCTTAGTTCTGGAACAAATATAAACCTAGGAGTATTATATTTTATGGATGAACTAATCAAATAGCATCTCTTCTACTCTTACAGTAAAAATCATTTATAAATAAAACTATAAAGCATTTTGTACCATATCTGACATGGGAACAGAATATGGACTCTTAAAATTCAGTTTGAGTCCTTATAAGGGTCGGAGGAAACGAGTCCAGGAGTGAAAATCAATCCTGCGATACAGGTACATCCAGACGACGAGTCCCAAATGGGACGAAACGCGCGTCGTGGATTCCATTGTTAGTCACTATACATCTTTGCTTAAAAAGCTTATGACTTAAGGCTATATCGAGAAAATCTCACAGGATGCACACATGCCAACAGGAGACTGATTAATTGCAGTCCTAAATAACAATGGGAAGATACAAATAAAACAACACCAAGCGAATTTATTTTCTGAATGGATAGAAACTGACTGAAAATTCATCATGGTATTTTAAGCTTGTTCCTGTTCATCCAGAAAAGAAATAACATTAACGTTCTTCACATTTGCCAAACCAAAAATATAAACAGTTCTCCTTCCATCTCCCCATCCAGAAATTGTTTTACTAACATATTTAATCAGGTGGTTTCATCAACGATATGAGTAGCCCAAAATCAGAACTAATGACGGCGCAAAAATGTGCAAAATAACGATGAAATTGTCATGAACAATTCCTCGAAAATGGCATACATTCATATTTATATCTAATACAAAACACTTCGGTCAGAACAGATAGAGACTTAATTTCCACAGATTTCTGGTAGATGCTGTCAATTCACGTATATGAAACAAATCGTATATCTATTTCACGTTATTGAACTGATTAGATTTTATTTTCGTATTGTGCTCTCTTACAAATCATTCTTGTTTTATTTTTCTCATCAAACTTGAGTCACCTTCAACTTTTTCAACTAGTTGTGTTATGTTTATATTAAATCGATATATACTCCGATTGACCATGTTTTATATCGTTTCATGAGAATTCTCATATATTGTTGATAGTATTATAACTCGTACTAAATAACTGACATTATGTGAACTAAAATATTTCGATTGTATTATAGATTATTTTTAGGTTAGTAGTGACTATCTTGTTTGCATGTAAACCTGTCATAATCGAAAGCACGTTTTATCGAAATAAACAGAACGGAGCCTTATTGTTTCGGTTCGCTCGTGATAATTAGTTGGTTTGTTTTCACCAATGACTGACATTCTTTTTCATGAAGTAGCCTAATTAGAATACATAAAAGTCTTGTTATAACTTGTATCCATCTTCCCTATTAATATATAATGTAATGATACCGCCAATTAGAGAATAGTGTCTTATCTACCTGACCAATGACGCATAAAGCCCGTACGAGCAGTCTAGAATCATTATCGGTCCTTCTTCCTGCTTAGCTCTGCCTATTGATTCCAGAACACCAAACGTTTGTACAAGATCTAGCCAAAAGTGGCTGTGAATGTGGAGAACTGTAATTAATAGACTGGACAGAACTCAAGAACGGTAAATCGTATAATAATCGTCTATAGGTAAAGATGAAGCTTATAATAAGAGAAACATGAATATGCATAGTTTAGCTACCTAACGACTATACAATTGAAATACATGTATCTTATTGGTCCATAAGTAGTTTTAAAAGTTACCATTCATAATTCTCGTCGGGATATAACAAGTATGCCAAATGTTGTACACATTTTGAGTAGTATATTAATGACATTTTGTCTGAGCTTCGAAATTATCTCAAAATGCTTTTTTTAGAAACATGAAATTATCATCTACGGGCGGATGTTGGCAGATATGAACAAAGATGTAACAAGTTGTCCAGTGAACAATTGTGTTATTCATACTGATACAACTCGTTGGATTCAAAGTGATCTTATTTTAATTCCAAACAGACAATTTCCTTCCGGAAAGCGTCCACATCAACAGGCTTGGGTGGCATTTGAGTATGAATCAGCACTCCATACTCGATTTAGTGATGAACTTAATGATAAAGTGAGTTTAACAGTCTCGAATATTCAATCAAATAAGGTTAAGTTTATTCAAATAATTATGGGTAAATAATGCTTTTTCCTTACAATTTGAAAGAAACAAAGTAGTGTAATAATATTCTTTTTTGTCTCCGTCTATTTAACTACCATATTTCATAATCTAGATTTATTTGAAGTTTGCACATAGGTAAATGAAAGCATGTATGCAATCAATAATTAATTCGTAGACTTCGCCGCTAACTGAGGCCAGTACAAAAAACGCATATGACTTTAAAGTAACTTGAAGAATTTTTTCGTCGATAGTTGTTGTGTGTAAACCTTTCCTAGTAAATCAATAAAAATAAGTTTGTATTTGTGTCTTGTTGAGTTTTCTACCAGTTGATTTCTCTATGCTTTGCGTTGTGTTGTACATAACATTGACGACTAATATATTTGGCCTAATTATTTCAAAATGTTTTAAATGTTGGTATTGACTCATGGTTTACTTTTACACATTTACAGTGAAAGAATTCACTTGTATTTAAAATGGATATAGGATCTTTTAAATATCTAGCAGGATTTTAAAAAAATTCGTCCGATAGAAACATTCATTTTATTTATTGTATATTTCTCAGATTAACTTCACTGCATCATATCGATTTGATTCAACTATTCGCACACCTTATGGAATGTATACACCGAATGAACCTAAAACAGACGATATCAATAAAACAATCCATTCGACAAAATTGGAGAATATAGCGAAAGGAAAAGACAGAGCTGTTGCCTGGATAGTGAGTAACTGTTATCCTAGGAGTCCAAGAAATGTTTATGCAAATGAACTGGCTAAATATATTACAGTAAGTTGATTATATCAAATGATTCAATCAGTTGTTCAATATCAATTGTCTGATAATTATTCACAGTACCAAACATAAGTATTTCTGATTGAGATCATGAACCGATTGATGTTAGACCACCATTAAGAACCTGGGAGTACTGGACGGCCGTTTCGTCCCACTGTTGGACTCCTCAGCACTGCACATCCACGATCCCGCTAGCGGGATTCGAACTCGGGGCCTTCAGGCTCGCGCGCGAACGCCTAACCTATTGGACCACTGAATCGACACCCAGTGGTGTTAATGTCTAACCTCAACCAATCCACGAAGTTGCGTGAATTTTTTTCTGATATCTAGCTGATACCAGCGTATTCATCTTATTCCTCACAGTTATCTAGAGAATTAATTTTATTTATTTTCGACTTTATAAATAAGTAAAGTTTGCAATGTCATTTACAAATTCAGATAATGATTTGGCTAGACTACGCACTTACAAAATATTTGCTGTTGACATAACGTGAAAAAAACCTAACGCGCACTTCCCAAGCACAATAACCGATTTACATGACTGCTTACACAGACAAGTATATTTTGTCATAATTACAAACTGCACAACTACAAAGAATGTACAGGTAAAAACAGTTTACGCTTATAATGGATTAGAAAAATAACTCAATTACAATCTAACGTTTTATTAACGAAACCCTGTTTAAAGCGAAACTAAACAACACTTCTGAATTAAGAATTATTGTTTACAAAATAACCCAATCATAAATATTATTTGCTTCTTTCTCAGAAATTATTACATTTTTGGGATAGCGTAAAAGTTGCTTCATTTACCGATCCTTAATGGTTAGTGTGAATAATACATGTCCTATTCATTATTTACCATGATGATTTATTGATACGTTGAATACGATGTGTTAGGAAAAAACTAATGGAAATACTTAGGTGATAATTTGTTTACTAACTGTGTATTAAACAGTTGACTACCTTTCAACTTTAGTAATCACTATCAAATATTAGAACCAGTTATTAGTTCTGCCCAAATTTTTTTTTAATGATATACATATAATTTCTCTTGTGATGATAACTAACGAATTCAGTTCCATTTCTACTTGATCGAAAAAAACTTTATCCCGATATACATTCACATTCATTCTCACGCCCAATCAAAGCCCTTGGTGATGTTTGAATTTGAACTAATCAGTTTACAAAGATGCACAGTTTATATGATGTTGAAGCACTCTCTAACTCTAAAACCTTTGTAAACAACGTTGTCAGTTCCTTAACCAGACGGTCATTACCATCGTTAAAAAGGGCCGAAGGTGAGTCAACTGAGCCCGGCGATTTTGTTGCGCTTCAAGAGTTGGAGTTTCTTGCGGACTTCCGCCTCATTTGGTGGATCAGTTGTCACCGGCCATGGAGGGCAGGACAGTCTGACCGATGTTGCCGGAGCAGCAGGCCAGTTGAACAGCCATCCGAAGAACTCTGCCCATCGTCCAAGACGTCGACAGATGTTAGTGATTGGCATCCCGTCATTCTCACAGACTGTTTCGCCCACGCTAGACTTCTTGCTGCCAGTGGCTCGGATGAGTTGGAAGAGCTTTCGGTAGTAACCAGATGCAGCTGCTGCTTCTAGCTCATTAGAACGCTCCGACCACCAGACTTCTCTATCCTTACGCAAGCTTTGTCCAATTTCATTACGCAACAGTCGTCGTTTGTGGTCAAACTCACGGGCACTCGGAGTAGACCGACGGGCTTCAATGAGTTGTAAGGAGCCTGAAGAAACCCAGTGCTTATAAGCGGGATATTTTGCGAAGCCTCAAGCGGCTTTACTCGCCATTTTGATGGAGTCATGCAATTGCAACCAATGCTCATCTATACTTTTCGGTGGGATGGTAGCTGTCCTTGAACCTAGCTTAGTTTGATATTTAGTTGCAACAGAAGCTGCAACTAATTTACTGACATCAATCCATTCAGGATGATGAATTTGTTGGCCACTGAGAAGTAAGGTAAGCGTCCCCGGATAAACTCACGCGAACAATCTTTTCGAAGCGACGGATGAAGAGAAAATTTCTAGTGCTTCACTAGTCTTGAATACGGGTCTCGGATAGACAACAAGTGTCAATATTTAGACTTTCTAAAGACATTGGTGCGCGAAAGTTGAAGGAAGCCAGTTTGGGTGGTATGCTTGGTTTCAGGAGGACTGTTTCAGTATTCGTATTCGGTGCTAGCATTCTACTTTTGGTCAGTCAGTGACTCGAGATCGTTTAGATAGAACATGGATTCCGCCATAGGCAAGCCGCTGTACAAGTTGAGAAATAAGGGTACATAAAGTGAAAATAGAAGTGAGTAGACAAGTGATGTGGTATATAAAGAAATAAAAATGAATGTGGATTGTCTGAATTTTAATTTAGGCGAGAATAGTATTTCCAGTAATTACTGTCCTTTCATTTTATTTGTGTGTGGGCTGTGATACTGCCTGGTTGCCAAGACCTAAACAGGTGGTTTTCTTAGGGGCCACGCCCGGAGCCCTTGACTCAAAGATTTGATCTACAAGACAGTGAGGCAACTTTAGGAGATGCAGTCCCATGGTAGCCGGTGACCAACAATGAGTCCATACGCCATTTGTTCCCTCAAGATCCTGGAGCCCATGTGCACCATCGGTTTGGAATCAGGATTTTCCATCTCCCCTAGGTGGATCCTCCATATCTACCGACCCAGTTAAAGCGCCGGACATTCGCTTTTCGTCCTCTCAATTTCTTAAACAACACCCCTGCCGCGAGAAGGCATTGAGTAGGACTTCCCTTGCTGTGGTTGTATGCACGTGGCCAGGTGAAAGCATTTGGAGAGGGAGAACTGACCAATTACTTGTTAACGAATAATGGCCCTGTCATTGCTAGTTGAATACCATTCTTCTTCTTCAGGCTGTTCCTGTTCGCTCATATATACAGGACTTCTGCTCTCAATCTTTCTTTATGTGTTAAAACCTTTCTGAAATATTTTGGTCCCTTCAAAATTGATCTCGTGTCGTGCTTCCAACGCATGTAACGCTATCGCCGACCTATTCTCAAGTTTCTTAAGATCAACCAAGAATTTGGGAACATTTTTCACACATTATTTGTGTTCCTTTAACCTCACATTCAATTGTATTGAAGTTTCGCCTACATATGCTGCATTACAGTCATGACAGTTCATATCATACATTTGGATTATGAAAAAATTAAAGGATGTTTTATGGTAAATCATGACAACTGACCAATAATGAAATAATTGTTTTTAATTGGTGTTTGATTCAAATAAATCATAAAAAATCGCTGGTGTAGTTGATGGTCATCTCTGGGTCTTAAAAAGGTCATTACAAGATTATTGGAGTTACAATATCTATTAACACAACTAACATCTTCTACTATTGAGATTAGTTTATTCTTCTTAATTTTGTAACAGATTTTATTTTATTTTAGATATTCGAACAGCTGAAATCGTGTAACTTTAAAATCTTTTAATATTTCTTTTTATCAGAAAACGTACATGAATTTCTCAAGTTTCTTTATTAGATTATCTGGGAAATATACGTATTTTGTGTTCCAGTGAACGAAGCAGTTCTGTACACCTAAAATTCTATTGTTTGTAAACAAGCTTCAGTGATTGGAATTTGTCTTTTTACCATATTGTTTTTAACTTTAGGTTGATGTGTATGGTCGATGTGGTCGGATGACCTGCTCTGGTTCGCAATGTTTTAATTTGGTACGGAAACATTACAAGTTTTACCTGAGTTTTGAAAATTCACTATGTCAAGATTATATAACAGAAAAGTTCTTCTTCAACGCACTAATGTAAGTAACGGTTTATTGAAATCACGTCAAAATAATTTGTATGCTGTTTTTTAACTGTAAGTTATCGATTTCAAACACTACTGAAGATGACACAGGTATTTTGAGTTTGACAATGCTTTAACCGGTAACACCTTCTACTAGGAATCGTACCCACCAAGTGAAATCAAAGCTCGGAAGCGGTGAGGTACGAAGATATATTTATTAATAGAAAAACCATACTATAATACCCAATTTGCAAAATGTTCAATAATTGTCTCGGACTTCATTGTTCTTGCATTTTTATACTATGTGCTTTCTAGTCCCGTTCTTTTTCTCTCGATCTTCCCAATCTTCTGGTGCCAGCCATTACATTCCTGACTCGCGTTGTATACTACTTAAGTCAATATAAGTAGCACGCACTACAAGTATCCAATGTCGAAGATTTACAGAGTAATTGATTTTGGGGATTTATTCAGCGTTACATTACGTAAAAATGATTATTACATCATGGACACAGTTTCCCAACCATCGTTGTTGTTGCTACCTTGACGTGGTGGTCGGGCTAGCCTATCGTGATGAACCAATCGAGCTATATTGTTGGGAACAATCGTTCCTCAAGGTCCTACCATGCCAGACAGGTCGGTTGAAGAGCGGTAATACTAGAAGTAGCAAACCCAAAGTCTGAGGGCGATGTTGTACTGCTGACTGTACAGAGGTGTGACAGCAGTAAGGTTTTTTCTTCAGACAACCAGCATGACGGCGATGCTGCCCTGCCACAAGGAGGGGTGGAGTTAGGAAAGGTTGACCCTAAAAACGCACACCTCACCTTTTCTCACGGATATCCGTCTCCGGCGATAAGGTCTCAACAAGTACAGAGCTAATAAGAAAATTACCCACGAAAAGGTCGTGTGTGACCGACCTCAAGAAGTTATCCCTTGGTCACTGCGATCACGCTCTCAGGTCACTATGACCACCTCTAATGCAATTTGCTTTTCAGGTACCTTCAGAAGAACCCTTCCACGGTGTGGGCAACCGGGAATCGATAACCGCCCTCATACTTCCAACAGCACTCAAGACCACTGTGTTTATAATCAACCTCCCTCTCCGATTTCTATTATTCCTCCTAAATCGACCTTCAACTCTAGACTTCATCTTTTGGCCTCCTCCTCAAGTGTCAGCATAGCCAACGATTCTAGTGCTCAAAACACTCCCAGGTCTACTGAAATCTCGCTCCAAACTACACATTGGAGCCTTCAACGTACGCACCCTATGTCAAATCGGTCATCAGGCCTCCTTATCTGAGACTCTAGAATTTTGTACCATTGATGTAGGCTGTGTCTCTGAAACACGCATACAGGATCCTAGTGCTGTCATTCACTTGACCTCACATCGGTAAAACGGAGAGACAACGAGATACACCTTACATGTATCTGGTGACCCGATGCCTAGTTCTCGTGGACAGACAGGTGTAGGTATGGTACTGAGCATGAGGGCGGAACAAGCATTATTGGAGTGGATCCCCGTTAACAGTCGTCTATGTGCTGTTCTGCTAAACGGTACCGTAAGAACTCGGGAGCATGGGGACACGCGTCGTTGCATTTTCGTCATTTCTGTCTACGCTCCCACTGACTGCAGTCCGAATGGAGTGAGATATGACTTTTACAGAAAGCTCTCTGGACTTCGTCAGAAAGCTAAACGTTCAGACATAGTAATCGTAGCAGGTGACTTTAATGCCCAAGTAGGTAGTATAAACCAAACAGAAAGACATTTAGGTGAACATTTTAGTATTCCGGCACAACGAACAGATAATGGTGATCGTCTGCTGCAACTGTGCTCAGACAACCATTTATTTTTAGCAAACACAAATTTTAAGCATAAGGAGAGACATCGTCTAATATGGTGACCCTCTGTACCAAACGAACGATGGACTCAAATAGACTATATTGCCATCAGTCATCGTTGGAGAGGGTCGGTAGAAGATTGTCGCTCATTCTGGAGTACCTGCTTAGACTCCGACCACACCCTAATACGGACACGCATTTGCTTGCGCCTCACTGGACTCAGAAAAGCCATACTAAAAAGACCCATGAGAACTTAGTTGAGTAACGAGAAAACCAAAAGTCTGTTCCAGGAACAACTGAGGTCACACTTAGTTAGTTCTGAAAACGAGACTGACCTCGGTGTTTCTTGGAAGATATACAGTCAGTTGTGGAAACAGCAGTGACATTGTTAGCGATTTAAACCAAAGAGTTACAAAAAACCAATGGATTTCTTCTAAGTCTATTGCACTGATGAATTCTCATAAACTCGTCCCATCAGGCTCTGAACACGGTGATGAGCGAAAACAAATCAGATCTAGGTTAAGCAAAGGTATAAGGAACGACCATGAGCAGTGGTGGGCAACGGAAACAAAAGAGATAGAAAAAATGGTGGCTATAGGGAACACAAGACAGCTCTACAGACTAATAAAAGAAACTGGAATTAATAAGTCAAGTTTAAGTGAGACTATCTCGGAAAAAGACGACGCTCTCATATGCTCCCAGTCCAGACGTTTAAAACGATGGGCGGAACATTTTAGAGAGCAGTTCAGCTGGCCTTCAGTTACTCTACAACTACCCACCATTCCCAGATAGTGTGAATGGAACACTGAAGTAGGTCCCTTAATTGTAACTGAAGTTCAAAACGTTATAGTTAATCTGGAACGAGGAAGAGCAGCTGGTCCAGATGGATTGGCTTCAGAAGTCTTTAAGGATAGTGGTCCAATTCTAGCGATTAGTTTGACTAATATTGTAGCTAAAATCTGGGAGTTAGACGTAATCCCATCTGACTGGTCTTAATCACTGATCGTCCCATTATATACGAGAGGGTCAAAATCATCCTGACTAACATAGCATCTAAAATACTAGCATCAATAATTGTCGATCGACTAACTAAGACTCGTGAACTGCAAACACAAGAAAACCAGGCTGGCTTCAGACCTAGTCGTGGCTGCATCAACCACATATTCATCATTCGTCAGGTTCTAGAACACAGGCATGCTTACCGGTGTCCGACAATGGTGGTCTTTATTGACTTAAAAACAGCATTTAACTCCGTAGACCGCGAGATTCTGTGGCAGTGTCTGTCATTGAAAGGCGTACCTCAGAAGTACATAAACCTTGTGCAGGCTCTTTACTTGAACACTACTAGTCGAGTCAGAGCTTATGGCGAACTGTTATCTGCTTTTGCAACCTCAAATGGTGTCCGCAAAGGCTGTCCACTTTCTCCATTTTTGTTTAACTTGATCATAGACCTACTGATGGAAATAACGCTGTCGTTGACTGAGTTTTCGGGCATTGATCTCCTACCAGGAGGTCCACTTAACTACTTAGAATACGCAGATGATATAGTCCTGATTGGTGAAGACGCTGACAAATTGCAGAGTCTTTTGGTAGCACTAAGTAACAATGCTAGAATGTTTGGGATACGCTTTTCCCCCTCTAAATGCAAGTTGTTGTTTCAGGACTGGCCTGCGTCAAAACCTGAATTAAGGATAGGGGGTGACGTAGTCGAACGCGTTGACAACTTCACACATCTTGAGAGTCTGATCAGTCCTAATGGTTCGGTGTCTGACGAAATCTCACCACGGATTCGAAAAGCTCGTTTGGCTTTTGCCAATTTTCGTCACCTATGGCGAAGGCGAGATATCCGTCTATCAATAAAAGGACGAGTATACTGAGCGGCAGTCCGTTCTGTCCTACTTTACGGCTGCGAAACGAGGCCATTAAGAGTAGAAGATACTCGTAAGCTACTAATATTTGACCACAGATGCCTTGGAAATATTGCTGGCGTCTGCTGGGTTCACCGGGTAAGTAATAGTGAGATTAGACGTAGGGTATTAGGAATGATGGTAAATCAGTTGATGAGGTTATGAATCTTCATCGACTGAGATGGTTGGGCCACGTGTTACGTATGCCTGAACACCGATTACCGCGACGTTCAATGCTAACCGGTGCTGGAGATGGTTGCAAGGAAGTTGTGGGCGCCCAAACCAAAACGTGGCACCAGTGCTTGAAGTCTATGTTTTCTGGTCTGAGCCATGTTGGTAGATACAGAGTACTTGGTCGGGGTCCGCGTGACTTTCGTAACCAATGGTTGGAGACTCTTGGTGACATGGCTCAGAATCAATCACAATGGCGTCGGTGTATACACTCTTTGTCTTCCCTTAAACTATAAGATTAAAATCTCTCTTTCTACGAACTAATTCTTTCTTCCTGTACTATGCCCTTATATGCAATCTGTCTTTTATATATTACCACCACTGAATTAATTAATTCTATGAATTCGGTTTTCATCTTGTTCTGCTAATGAGATATGGCGACTTGGGCCGATGCATATATGTGCCTGGTCCTACGTTGTAGCTGACTGACTGACTGGATACAGCTTTTAAGATCAATAAACTAATCAATGAAAAATTATTTATTTCCTGTTATGTTTAACGAGATTGACTACATATAGAAACTGAGGTTGTTTAAATTTAAGGAGATCTACTAAAAAGTGGAGTTGTTTCTGGAAAGCAATAAAGGTATTTTTTATTAGTTTAACATCAAGAAGACTGTATACTTCAGGAACTAATGATGCTACTCGGTTATCTGAACTGAATCATTCTAAACTCCATAGATCATATTGTATGGTAAAAATGTATAAAGTGAGAAGGAAATGCAACAAATGTTAGAAAGTGTAAATAGGTTGCAACTGATGGGCTTCTTTTGAAGCATCAGCGTATAAATCACACTTGTCGGGATAGGTGATTGGGGAGTTTTGACAATCTCGTTTCAGACATCTAGTATATTATTTGTTTACATATATCTCGCGTACTACAAAGAGTGACTTTTTAAAAGGTTATTCTAGAAAAAGAGCGGTTTTTTTACCAGTTACAAGACACTAGGTACTCACATCTAAGCATTTGGATAAATATTAGAAGGGGTTTTTGTAGATATTATAGTAATTTCAATAGTTGATAACATGAGTCCATTGAAGCTAGACCACTATAGAAACCAGGGTTGCCATTTCGTTCTATTATGGGAGAAACCTCTGTGTTATTGGACGATTTAAATCACTATTACTTGAAACACAGGCATCCTTAATAACCTCTAGTATGTATCATCATCAGTAATAGATATTCGACTAAAATGTATTGGAAATAACTATCTATGTCCATATTTATTTAGGAACAATGCATTACCCATAGTTATGGGTGCCTCGATTGAGGAGTATCAGAAGGTTTCACCACCTCATTCTTTCATTCATGTGGATCAATTTGAGAATCCGAAAGAACTGGCCAAATATCTGAAGTACCTTGATAAAAATGACACTGCATACAACGAATATTTCGCTTGGCATAAAAGGGGTGTTGTAACTGTATGGTCGTTCAAGCCGGAGTGTGAATTTTGCATACTTGCAAATGCTCTTCCTTACTTCGAGCCAACTATACATGAAAACTTTATATTTTGGTGGAAGGATGGATGTAAAAACAGAACATTAAGATGGTAAGATGGTTTCTAATATCTCATTAAACAGAGGTTTTGTTAAAGTAGTTTCTACGGTTAACAGTAAATTTAACCCATGTTTATCAGAATGACAATATGAAAGTGAGGTAGTCAACATGAAAATTAAACGTGATTTCTTTTCAACTAGGTACAGAAAAACCCAAGAATCACTAACTCATTTCCTAACATTTCCAAACAACATGAATAAGTACTGTCTGGAAATGATTATAGGTTATTTGTAGTGATGTTAAATTTCAAATCCTGATTTGAGACAAAAATACTTTATTACAAAAGTTTAAAAATCCCCATACAATATTCAAAAATGAAGAATATTTGAGCGAACAATTGTTTTCAATAACTTCATCATCAGGCTCTACAGTTATAAGTCCATAGTTATAATATTTTACAAAGGCCAAAAGTAAGACATGTAATAATGAATTTGACAATGTTACGTGTTAAAAAAAGGTAAACGTTTGCATCTGTTACGATATGTATATACGTCGAAATTGTATTATTTGACAAATTAGAAAGGTCAGGATGATTTGGAGCAGTGTTCGGTTTTCATTATCCCAACGGCAATTTTTTTTAAAACTCCCCTCCACCCTTTTTTAAAAATTTTTTCAACCCCAAAATTACAATATTTTTCATCCCGTTTCGTCCAATGAAGTGGCTAGTTTTACACTTCGTTTTAATTGGTTAGTTATGTCTTGTCAAATTGTTATGAAATTGTTAAAAAAAACCTCCACCCCAATAAAAAAATTTTCCACCCCCAAATTACAATATTTTTCATCCCGTGTTTCGTCCAATGAAATGGCTAGTTTCAAAACTTAGATTTAATTGGTTAGTTATGTCTTGAAAATTGTTATAAATTATCAGTACTTGTCGACGAAGCACATTCCAATCGTCATTATGGAGCAGGGTAACGTGCCAAGTACAAGCGCTGGTGTTTCTTACGTAACGGAAATGGAGGAAGTCTTTTTGATTACCTTGTTTCTGGTTGCGTTTCCATCGGTTGAAGCGTTAAAGGCCACTATCACAAATTTTGAAAGATCGACTTACAGTCATTATGTAGTGAGAGATTCGCATATTGGCAGAGATCAAAAATCGTACATTAAATTTGTGTGTTGGCGAAATGGGTGTATAAGATCTAGCGGTTCGTCACAACGTATTAGACGGAGGAGGTAATTTGGTAAATGGTTCTATAATTTTTTTAACGAAGGGCTTCTATGAACACCCAATGTCCGGCCTTCATGTTTTGTAAGATTATAGACGGCTACTGGACTGTTGTACGTGGAAATGTGCATCACAATCACGAGTGCAATTCCCTGAGGTACCAAGGTAATTCATGGGTGCGCAGGTTAACGGATGGGGAGTTCGTATTCTTCTTCATGACTGCTGAGCAACTGAATTTGGCCGGTCACTTTTGTGACGTAATTGGTTTTGACGGGACGTACAAAACGAATAACGAGAACGTCCGTTTATATCAAGTCGTTGCCCTGGATATGAATTTTAAGGCAATACCCATCTGCATTGTCTTTTTAAGTCGGGAAACGTCAACATTCATTTCTGTATTCCTGCGTTTTTTCCAACGGTGTACCAACAGTCGACAGCTGGGTGCTCTGCTTTCAGAAAGGGATAAATTTGAAAATAATTACTGACCACAATTTAAGCTTTTATGACTGTTTCACAGTTTCCAAACTTCGGTATTTAATCCTGTGTTAAAATATAGTTAAATCATAGACCTCAATTCTTCATGATTACATTTTTAATCACTACATGTGTGTTGAAACGTACTAAAGCAAAACCTTTAAAAATTATATATGTGGATGTATAAATAGAACAGTGAATAGTTGAGACGATGAAGGTAGGAAAGGCATTCAGACAACAGCAAAAAAATCCAAGACAAGATGATAGCTCATATGAATAATGTCTGTTTAAAAAAAACTGGGCATTTTTCGGATAAGTTCATGTTCTAAATTCAGAAATCCGATTACAATTGCCACTTCAAGGTGTACTTAAAAATATTGATCAAAACAGTCATGCATTGAAAATAATTATATTTCTTTATTTGTTGAGGTCGTACAAGAAAGTGGTATTAAAAATACTGAAAGGTGGGTGTTTATAATTGGTAGAGTAAAATAATTTAAATAATGTACAAACTTGGAGAACTGCCATGGCTGGATTATTGTGACAATAGTGAGAATAATAATAATTATAATGTGATAAGATGGTTCTGTATTTCTTGATGAGACGTTCAGTATTTATTATATAACAAAGGATCGATTTTCCCATGGATTTCGATTACGCATTTCATCAAATGGGGAGTTAGGCCCTCTGTTTGAGGCTTATCTGATTAGCCCTACAAGATCATATTGGAATGACATGCACTGATAAGACTATCATTGGTAACTTTGGGACATGTAGTGTTACACATGATTCTTAATATGTTTAATTCAATGTATGACTCATCACTAAATTGCTGCTAATATCGTATGAACCATTGCACAGGGATTCGATCAGTTTTTACTTCAATTTGTAGATTGTTAAATATGCAGAGAAATTGTTTTCACACATAAAATTTCTATCATAGAAACAATCAATTACATATCCGAACTAAACTGAAGGATTAATAGGCCAACGACCTGGTTTTGAATTATTAACTGGAAGACTTTCTAATCAACTTTCAGTAAATGAACGAGACATCTTTTATTTGAAAAAATATTTGATGGGTGAATAAAAGAGATTTGCAGTTGTTTCACAACTAGGATTGTCATTTTTAAGATAATCAACCCTTATTCTCTAGATGCAGCAGCCGATGATTAACACAACAGATGTTTTAGATTTAAAACAATTTATTTAATATGACTGGCTTTTGGAACTCTATCAAAAAAATAACTTTGAACAAGGAATTTCGTAACATGTTTACTATGTCTCATTAAGATTATTAATAATGCGAAGATAAGCATCATGTTAGTTAGACGTATGCTCCGTGAACTTGAAGTCAATATCTCAGGCATGATTGGTTTGTTGAACATTACTTTTGTCTATATTTCATATTTACATCATATTCTTACATTACAGTATTTTACCTTTTTGACAGGAATAAAGCTCTTTAATTATTTGTAAAGAAAATGAAGGAAACTTGATGATGAGTAGCTGAGAATTATCAAAGACGGTACTTGTACATATACCTCTTTCAGTTAACATTTTATTTTTCTACTTCTTCGAAGTGTAATCCATTATAAGATCACAGTAGAACGTTCTCTTTCAATCTTCATGTTTTTAAATCTGACCTTCAAGAAACCATCGACTGCTTTATTTTGATGTATCCTGTTTTCTTACTAGCGAGCATACTTTTTCTGAATTTCGAATACTTCTAATAGTGAAATTAGTTAAATATTTAACTGTGTTCACTTCAATCACGAATGTATATATGGTAAAAAAAAATTTCCTTCGTCTTTCTACGATAAATAGTTTTGAGTGATTTCGCTATAACCGAACTATGGTGTTTGAATGAACTAATGATTCCTTTGTACTTGTTTAATGCTTGATTTCGAATTCTAAATACAGTAAATTCGTTTGTGATTATCTAGTACTTCTTGATCCGATTACGTTATTTTTGGGATTCTTAGTTCATACTATAATTCAAATACTTCTAATTATCACACGAATCCGATCCTTTATGCGGATGAGATTCAACTGGTAAATGTCCTACCATATCCAGATGAACATGGTCTAAATGATGATCGAGAGTTTTGAATGAGCCTAAGAGACATTTGTCGTGTCTAATCACCTTAGATTTCTGGCAGCTTACACAGGAGCGTTTCCACTCCCACACGTCTTTATTCGTACCAGGTCAGTAAAACCGTCCTGCTATGAGCTTAATGGTTGCACAAACACCTGGGTGAGAAAGTTTGTGCAACGTATTGAAGACGTTGCGTCGATAATATTTCGGCACTATTGGATGATTCCGACCTATAGATGTGTCGCATAATAAGGTTTCCTTACCTGTCCCCATTTGAGTAATGAGTAGTTTCAAAGTTTTTGAAGATAACTCGTCCTGAAGATCAGTGTCTTCTTTTTGAAACTAGGAGAATTTAGGAAGGACCAATCTCCCAAGTTTTGGGAAATTTTGGGGTTTTGATGCCATTTTCTCAAAATTTTCTATAGCAGCTTCCCCAAAATGGGTGCAATTTTTCACAAAATTGGGAGACTGGAGGTCGATTCCTTGGAAATTGTTCAAAAAAATTATATGAGACAAGACGTCGGCAACTACATTATTTGCTCCAGAAATGTGTTGTATGTCTGTAGTACACTGCGAAACGAAATCATGGTAGGTGTTACTGGTTATAGCATTGTCAAACTCTAAATACCTGTGGCATCTTTATTGATGAGCCCGACGTGATCTGGTACACCAACTTAAAAAATGTGAGTCTGTTCCTTTTTGTAATTCTATATATCATTGCTTCATTCTAATTCTTATATATTCTGATTTTCTTTCGTATTCTTGAATATATATATATATATATATATATATATATATATATATATATATTCTCGTCCATTCTTGACAAAACAGACACCTACGTTACTCAAGTTAATGACTATGACTCCACCTTCATTTCAACTAATGCCCTTTTGGCCAGACAACATCGAAGCCTGGTTCTATTATGCAGAGGTCGACTTCTAAGAGCACTACGTGGACGGCACACGTGCACAATTCCTCGTAGTAGTAAAGGCACTACCATTATCGATGAAACTTTGGAAGCTTTATGCTACACTTCTTAAGCCGAAAAGCATGCAAAAAAATCGTAGAGACCTTAATAAGTAATGATAGCGGTTTTAGGAATGTCGTCAGTGGCCATAGGAATTTGGTTATAGTCTTTGACCAAGTCGGTTTTCGAAAAGACAGTTGTACCATTCAAGGTAGCTGTCAAGTCGTGAATGTGAGGCGATCGATCGTGAACGATCGTGAATGGGTTTTGCATTCAATCGCCGATAGTCACCAGTTGGACGCCAATCGTTGCTGTCCTTTTTAGGGACCATGTGTAAGGGAGATGTCCATGGGCTGCTTGGCGGCCGAATGATTCCTAACTCTATCATCTGGTCAAATTCGTTTTTGGCCAACGTCGGGAGCCAGTAGGCGCACTTTCGAGAATACAGGAGGTCCTGTAGTAGTGATGTGATGTACAACATTGCTGGTTACACACGGCAGTTTCGGTTGCGGTTGGTATATCCCAGTATACTTGTCGAGTAATTGTTGATAGAAGGAGTCTATCGTGTGCCTGACTGTGACTGGAGATGATCTGCAACCGGGAAAAGAAGTTACTCAAACAGATAAACTAGTGTTTCCTTCTACTAGCCTCCGTTTGCGCGTATCACTGAGTTGATTGTGATGTTGTAGCAGGCCTATACTAATTGGCATAGAAATATCTGCAAAAACGAAAATCCACTGGGTGGGTTCGCGTAAACCCACGTTAAGGTAAACGTACCTTTTACCATATGTAGCTATAGAGTTTCCGATTGCCACCTGTAAGTTTAAAACCGGTTCGTGAAACCGACGGTTAGAATTTCCCGGAAGAACACTAACTTCTGCGTCAGTATTGACGAGGTAGCAAACTTTCATTATCACATCAGTGACATATAACAGACGTGTGTGTTTGCCGGCTACGGTTGCCGATAACACGTGCAAGCAGGGAAATTTCCCGAAATATTTTTCATGCCGGTCGGTTTCCAGTTCAGAAAATTGCAAGTTCTTCTGAATAAATAACTTGAGGAATATTTATTTGGAGTGGATCAACGAACCAATGATATGACTTTGAAAATAGACTTCAAAACATTTGCCTATGGGAGATCCGAGAAAATAATATTTAACCAAATCACTGGTCCGTGTGAACAATTTATCTGTGAAATGACTGAATGTATTTTAGCTATCAGATCTTGCTTCCAACTGATTACTTAGTTTAGATAAATAGACGTACTTATAAGTAAATAAATAATATCACGAGTGTGTAGTGTAAACTAATGAAGTTTACGTAGATGTTATTATAAATATATTTTCTGTACTATTCGAACTAATTAGTATTGATTAGTATGTTGAAATGCTTGTGAAAAAAGAATTAGAAAACATACAGATTTGCATGTGAATATTTGTCTGGATCATCTCAGGAAAATTAAAATATACTGAGTTTTTTAATATTATGAACCTGTAGTAACACGACATCTTGGTATCGCTTAATGACACGACTATCTTTTCGAAGATCGATCTGGTACGAACATATCATCAGATCCCAGTCGCTCTTGACGAGATCGAAAAACCCGCTATCACGACTCCTTTTGGTCTGTTTGAGTTCCTACGAATGCCATTTAGATTACGGAATTCTGCTCAAACTTTCCAAAGGTTTATCGACAGCATAGTACGAGACAGATTTTGTTCACGTCTATATTGATGACCTGCTAATCGCGTCATCTAATGTAGATGAACATTATCAACATCTAACAATCTTATTCCAACGTCTTTCGGATAATGGAATAGTAGTCAGCCCGGACAAGTGTGAATTCGGTAAACCAGAAATAATGTTCTTGGGTCACATCATTAAGTAAGAGGGTATTTCACCTTGCGAGGACAAGGTAAGTGCAATAAGGGAGTACAACATGCCGTCCACAGTCAAGAAACTGAAAGCATTTTTCGGTTTGGTTAACTTCTATCGACGTTTCATCCCACACGCGGCAGAACGGTTACGACCATTAACCGATTTACTTTGCGGTAATCAACGCAAGTTAGAATTGAACGATGCCGCAAATACTGCATTTTCAGGGAGTAAAACGGCTCTGGCTCAAGTCACACTCCTCGCTCATCCTGACCCATCAGCCACGTTTAGTATAGCAGTTGGTGCATCGAATTTCGCTATAGGAGCCGTTATGCAACAGAACATCCCCGGTAGTCGGCAACCTCTCGAATTTTTCTCACGACGCCTTTCTCCCACGGAGACGAGATATAGCACTTTTGGTCGAGAACTACTAGCAGCCTACTGTGCCATTAAACATTTCCGACACTCAGTAGAAGGTTGCAATTTCATTTTATTCACCGACCACAAGCCTTTAACGTATGCTCTGCATACCAAGTCTGAGCGCTACTCACTACGAGAATGCAGACATTTGGACTATATCTCTCAGTTCACGACAGACCTTTGTCACACTAAAGGCGAGTCGAGCTATGTTGCTGATGCTCTGTCACGTATCCAAGTGAGTGCAGTTACTTTACCGGTGCTCGATCTTCCCGCTATGGCTGCCACCCAAGCAAACGATCCCTTTTGTACAGAAGCACCACAATCTACATCCGTTCAGTGCGAGGAAGTACCCCTAGCTACTACCTCAGGTACTATTTTATGTGATACTTCTACAGATCTTGCCCGACCCATCGTACCCTCTGCTTACTTTCGCCTCGTCCTTGATGCCCTGCATGAACTATCTCATTTAGGTATCGTAGCTACATTACGTCTCATCGCTGCACGATACGTCTCACCGTCTATGAATAAAGATGTCCGTATGTGGGTAAAGCAATGCTTACAATGTCAACGACCAAAAGCGCACAGGCACGTAGCTGCCCCCATTGGCACGGTCGCTACGCCTGATGCTCGCTTCGATCACGTTCATATAGACAATGTGGGACCATTGCCACCATAGCACGGGTATGATCACATACTCACGTGCGTCGACCGTTTTAGAAGATGGTCCGAAGCTATACCCATCACGTCCATTACGGCGGAGACAGTTGTTCACCGCCCCGTAGAACGATGGATAGCGCTGTACGGTTGTCCCCCGACCGTCGCAACTGAACGAGGATAACAACTGGGGTCCGCATTATTCTCCACACTCACCCGGCTGCTTGGTACGGAACGCATACGCGCTACCACCTATCATCCAGCATCAAATGATCTAGTTAAATGGTTTTATCGCCAGCTTAAAAGTTCTCTTCGAGCACATGAAAACAACATTTGGTACGAAACCTTATCGCTCGTCCTCTTAGGTATCAGAACGAGCTTAAAGGCAGATATTCAATGTTCCACCACTGAACTTGTATACGGCACGACATTGCGTCTGCCTGGAGAATTTT